CCGGGCTGGTTGGTTGGTTGGTTGGTTGGTCGGTTGGTCGGTTGGTCGGTTGGTCGGTCGGTTGGGTCTGGGAGATGGGTTTGGCCGTGGTGGATATATCAACGGCAGGTTCACAGCAGGAACCGAACTCACCCAAATGTCGAGTCGTTGCTCTGAAGTGAAGCGAAGCGGATCTGGCAGGGGATCATCATGGATGGGGTCTGGGTGCGCTCTAGAGAATACAGAAAAAAAGTCGCCAGCCACGCTTAGATTGGCACATTGGCAGACAGACAGACGGGCGGGCGAGCGGGATGTGTGGGCGGACGGGCTTTTTTTATTATTATTATTACCTTGTTTATCCTCCTCGTCAGTTCAATGAAAGAAAAAAGTTGTTTTTTTTTCCCTCTTCTTCTTGTTCTTCTTGTTCTCTTCAACTGTTGTTTGATCGGCGTACTGCTTTTCTCGACTCGACTTGACTTGGATGGACTTGGATGGGCTTGAATTGAGGGTTTGTCCATCTATCTATCTATCTACCCATGGGGTCTATCTATGGAGTCTATGCTGGAACTTATATCTTATCTGTGTGCCGTACTATCAAAATCAGACTGAATGAATTAACGAATGAATCGCTTGTATTATTTACGGTTTTACCTGCCTAGTTAGCTAGCTGTTTGGATACTTCGCCTCGGTGCAGGTAGGCAGGCAGGCAGCGATATTGGCTGTTTCCTGTTTCCTGTTTCCTGTTCCTGTTCGCATTCTCGGTTGCTCTCTTGAGCGTTTTGTTGGTCGATGGTGGTTGGTGGTTGGTCGTCTCTGGGGGTACTAGGGGGGATGGGGGGAGGAGAGTGGTTTACCTACTCGCTTGTTTTGTCCATTTGTCCATTCGTTTGTTTCTTTTCTTTGGTTATGGCATCGCTTTTTCGGTCCCGGTCGTTCGTTCGTTTGTTCGTTTCGGACTAGAGAGGGAGGGAGGGAGGGAGTGAGGGAGGGGAGGAGGGGAACTTTTCGAAGGCTTGGTAGCTGGGTCGGGTACCAAGCAGCGTTCTTTGGCTACCTAGGCTGGGTGGGTAGGTAGGTTCAGTGCCTGGGTACGTACCAGTGTTCAGCTGTCGATCAAATCGATTGATCATCGATCCGGTATCCGGCGTTAAATGGACACTGTTGCTGGCCGGCTGGCTGCTTTTCTCCGTCGCCGCCGCGGGGTTACGTCTATTAGAGTGGTGGGTGAGCTTAGTTAGCTGGTAAGTCGATTGGATTAATGAATTATTCTGATTGCATTCCCTAGAGACGCCACGATGGTTGGATTCCGATTTCATGATCATTATCGTTATCGTTATCCTTATCGTTAGCTGAGCTTAGCTAAGCTTAGCTTAGCGAATCAAAAGAAAGAGAAAAAGAAAAGAAAAAGAAAAAGAAAATTCTGCGCAATTACCGCACGAAAATGAGATCCTACGGCGGGAAGGGGGAAGATAAAGGTGGAGAAGTGCTACAGTAGCGAGGTGAATCGGCGATCCCATTCACGATATAAGCTTTACTTAGCTTTCGGACTCCCGGGGACTTAAGACTACCGGTACCGGTACCGGTACTCTGTAGAAGAGGGGGCTTCTTGGCAGTCGGAAAGACACAGAGATGAATCGACACATACGGTAGACGATGCGATGGATGAGATGGTATTTTTCAGATACGGAAGGGTAGGTGGATGGATTCGATAGGGGGAAGATAGAGGTCGGTGACCTCTGCACCGAGAGAATGATGTGTGTGGGTCATGGGTACTGTTTTTCTGGGATGGTTGATCTGTATGGGTACCGGTAACTGAGAGCGGTCTGATCGTCAGCTGATTGATTGATTCGATAGTTCTGGAGAGATGGTTTGCCGATGGGCCTTTTGGCTCCCGCACGTGTCGGCGGGTTGTGGATTATATTTACGTATGGATTACTTACTACTCACGACCTCCCTAGCCAGATACCTGGGAAATGGGAGTGGGATACTACGAGGGAGGTACCGTAGGAGAAGGCCACGAGGGGGAATCCGGACATGGCCTGGTCGGTAGTCCGTCCGTCCGTTGACCGTACTGTTACTGTACTGTAGTGAGGGGGTTCGTGCTGGTCGGGTAGATGGTTCCCCATCCATGGGTCGTCCGCTACCGGTACCGTAACAGCAGGTACCACCCACACCTAGCTAGGCCCGGCCGGTCGTAGCACGAAGCACGTAGCACGTAATACGTACTGTAGCACGTAACACGTTCCTGCCACGCGAGCGAGCGAGCGAGCAAGCAATGAGGTAACCCAATTAGATGTCAAGCGATGTGTCTTACCGACGTGCTTAGCCTGCACAGTCATGTTTGCGGGGTCCCCAGACTTTGATGGGGGATAGGGATGGGGGATGGGGGTGGTTGGGAGGGGGGATGAAGGGCCCGCTGAGTATCAGTCGGAGTCTCGTCGATACGGATGCACATGCACATGATACACGTGATTCGTCCATCTCGCTGTTTATCTCCTGTCGCATCGTCGGATCGGATCTCGCGAACGTCTGGACCGCGTCGTTCTCATCTTTTTCATCTTTTCCATCTTCTCATCTTCTCATCTTCTATCTTCTCCATCTTCTTCATCCGATCTGATTCGAGAGTATCGCATCGCGCTCACGGACGGGAAACTCAAACCTTATTGGGATGCGGGGAAGTCCGGGGAGGGGCACTTGGCATTCGCCATTGGCATCGACACTTGGCGACTTGGCGCAGAAACTTGGGATGGGACTTGGCATCGTCCCGCTTGGCAGGGCAGTTAACGGGCCGATGTGCTGGACCGCTTACCTTATCGAAGGATTGACCTGGGCACGTGGGGTGGGGAGTATAAGATGAAGAAGGTTGGTGCCCCTCATCTTTGCCGCATGGCCTGGGCCGTGTGCTTTTCTTCTTCTTCTTCTCCTTCTTCTTTGTATCCATGTCTCTGTTGATCTTGCGCCATAGCAGTTTATACCATATCGCAATCGGATAATAGACGACAATATACACATCTATTCACTTACACATATGCAGATGCATATGCATATATCAACATAGATATATATATGCCCCTCACCTTCTCCTCCTCCTCCTCCTCCTCCTCCTCCCCATCCTCCTCCTCCTCATCCTCCTCCTCCTCCTCCTCCTCCTCCTCCTCCACCACCACCACCACATCACCAGGGGCTGGATACTTCCCCAATTACCCGCCGCAAACATGGACATCAAACCCGACCCCAGCATCGCCGTCACCTCGACCACCCCGACGACCAGCCCCAATGTCGCCCATACACCAGCACCAATACCCACAACCCCGCCCACCGACGACGTGGACTTGACCAAGTCCATGAACGACATCATCCACAACGCAAAGAATGCCACGGCCAAGGAGCAGAGCATGAGCCTGTGGCAGGGCCTGAAGCTGTATCCCAAGGCCGTGGCATGGAGCATCGTCATTAGTACCTGCATCGTCATGGAGGGCTACGACATCAGTCTGTTGACCAATTTTTGTGAGTTTACCTCTCGCTCGTGTTGTCGGGGGGGGGGGGCGTGAAGAGAAGAAACAGCCTTTTGCGACCGGAGAGAGAGGAGTGGTGGAAGGATGAACAGAAGAGCCTTTTGCGACCAGAGAGAGGAGTGGAAAATGATAGATCCATCCTCGCCCAACCCCACGAACGAATGCTAACACCCCCAGACGCCTTTCCTCAATTCAACGAAAAGTACGGAGAACTCACCAGCGACGGCACATATCAAATCTCGGCCCCATGGCAATCCGGTCTCAGCAATGTACGTATATACTGTACCCCCCCTCCCCCTCCTCTACCGAATCCTCTCCCTAACCAAATAACCCCAAGGGTGCCCACGTTGGAGAAATCATCGGTCTCTTCATCAACGGCTTCGTCTCGGAGCGCTTTGGATACAGATATACCATAATGGCGTGCTTGCTCCTCATTTGTGGCTTTACGGCCATCTTCTTCACGGCGCAGAGTATCATCCATCTGCAGGTTGCCAGTATCCTGATTGGCATTGTGAGTTTCTCCCTGCACTTCCCCCAAATCACCTCGTCGTACTGACTGGCTGCCCTCGCAATAGCCATGGGGCGTCTTCCAAACCCGTAAGTGTCCATGATCCCATTTCTCTTCTCTCTCGATCAGACTCGCCGAGGACAAAACATACTAACAGCACACACTTGCAGTGACCGTCACGTACGCATCGGAAGTCTGCCCCGTCGCTCTCCGAGGCTATCTCACGACTTATGTCAATTTCTGCTGGGGTCTGGGACAGATGATCGGTGTCGGCGTCATCAAATCCATGTTGGGACGAAAGGATGAGTGGGCGTGAGTATACTTACTCTCCAACCCATCCGCGTGACCGACTGACATCCACAGCTACCGCATCCCCTACGGCCTCCAATGGATGTGGCCCGTCCCCCTCTTCGTCGGGGTATGCCTGGCGCCCGAATCTCCCTGGTGGCTCGTCCGCAAAGGCCGCGTCGAGGAGGCCAAGCGAGCGCTCCTCCGCCTCACATCCCTCGACAAGGAAACACACTTCGATGCCGACGAGACCATCTCCATGATGGTACACACCACGGCTCTCGAGGAGAAGATTACCTCGGGCGCGACCTACCTCGACTGCTTCCGCGGCACAGACCTCCGCCGTACGGAGATTGTCTGCATGGTCTGGGCTATTCAGAATCTGGCAGGGAACTCCTTCTCCAACTACTCGACCTACTTCCTGCAGCAAGCCGGCCTGGCGACGAACACCTCGTACGACTTCGCCCTCGGCCAGTACGGCATCAACATGACGGGCGTCTTCGGCGCCTGGTTCCTCATGCACTGCGGCGTCGGCCGGCGCACGCTGTACCTCGTCGGCCTCTGTGGACTCTGCACCATGCTCTTCGCCATGGGCTTCCTGGGCCTCGTCCCCGACCGGAAAGCCGGCTCCCTCGCCACCGGCGCCATGATGCTCGTGTGGGCCATGGTGTACCAGCTGACCGTGGGTACGGTATGCTACTCGCTGGTGGCGGAGCTGCCGACGCGTCGCCTAGCGATCAAGACGGTCGTGCTGGGCCGCAACTGCTACAACGTCGTCGGCATCGTGGCCGCGGTCCTGACGCCGTACATGCTGAACCCGAGCGCGTGGGACTGGGGCAACTACGCCGGCTTCTTCTGGGGCGCATCCTGCTTCATGTGCATCATCTACACGTACTTCCGACTGCCGGAGCCGGTGGGGCGCTCGTTCGCCGAGCTGGACCTGCTGTTCGAGCAGGGTGTCAGCGCGCGCAAGTTCAAAGGCGCGCAGGTCGATGTCTTTGGCGAGGAGGTCGGCGTTGTTGAGGGCGTCGTGGGCGGGTACGAGGAGAAGAAGATGGAGGTGAGCCAGCTGGAGGAGGTTTATGACAAGGGCCGCTGAATGGATGGATAGGCGGACGGGTGGACGAACGAACGAAGAGAGAGTGCTAATTGGTGGGGTAGATTCGCGCCGCGTAGCTGCGTCGCTGCGGGCTTGTCAGGACAGGGGGTTATGTGGGTCTGGAGTGAAGGGAGGGTGTCTTCTCCCCCGGCCGAGGAGGAAGTGTTGAGGCGCTGTGGGGTAGGATGAGATGGGGATGGGGTGGGATAGGATTGCATTGCATTGGATTGCATGACCGGCTGAGCTGGATCACGCGGCTTCTTCTTCTTCTCCCCCTTTCTATCTTGCACATTATATCATAATAAATAGTGTTATATCATCACCTAACGTAACGAAGTTAACGACCCAACGAAAAACAATCAATCAAAACAATCCAAAACCGCTAGATTAAGAATCCCTACCAAATCTATCCACCCATCCATCCATCCACTTCTCCCTCCTTCTCCTTCTTGCAAGCGAAACAAGTCACGTGCTCGCTTAGTTAGTCAGTCGTGGCCATATGATGATGATCCAATCCAACCCATCCCATCCCCTCCCATCTAATCTCATAGGCTCCAGCCCAGCTCCCGCGCCACGGCGGAAGAGATGCCGTGCGCGTGCAGGCCGTGGATCCGCGCCCTCTCCGCGATCGAGTAATTCCCATTCGCCTGCACGGCTGCCAGGCTTGCCGCGCCAGCCGCAACGGGCACGTAAGGATCTGGGCGTGCCGTCCCGACCCGTGAGCACGACGTCAAAAACGGCAAAGACGGCAAATACACCCCCCTCCCCTTTCCATCACCTCCCACCCTGAGCCCCCCCCACCCCGACCCCCCACGCCCCCCCCCGGAAAAAAAAAGATCAAGAGCGAGAGAGGAGAGGAGGGAATCTCACAGTCCGTGCCCGTGACAATCTTGCCAACTCCGCCGAGCTGGTTCATGGACCTGAGCTGGATAGCCGAGGAGGCGCCCGCGGGGTCGAAGTAGAAGCCGCGGAACTGGCGCATGCTCGTCTCGGGGTCCAGGTTGCCGTTGACGGGCAGGGCAGCTGGGCGGTAGGGGAGGGCGCCGCCGCCGTGGAGGAACATGATGTTGGTAGCGGGGTACGTAGTAGTTTTGGCGCTGGTCCCTGAAGAGCATCTTCTCCATGGCGCGCATCGAGTCGAAGGGGTACTCGGTCAGGGGGGAGGGGTAGGCCATGTCGGCCGTTGCGCAGCCGGGCTCGGAAGGATGGACAAAGACGGTGGCTTGGCGATCGTGGAGCGCTTGGAGGATGGAGTTCAGGACGGGGTCGCCGAGGTAGGTGCCGGCGAAGTTGGTGTAGAGGCCTACGCCGTCAAAGTGCAGGCTGTCTAGGCAGTCCTGGGAGGCGGGCGTGAGCATCAATCTCTCCCCGCCGCGGGGGATGTCAGGCTGTGGCGGTTCGTTACCTCTATTTCCCCAGTGAGGAATCGATGTCGGGAAGAGGTAACAGGCACACGGCTCCCAGACGCCTCGGGTATGCTTTTGTGTAGTTGAACATGACGAGGTTGATGTCTCTTGCGAAGCGCGCGGCCTTCAGAAGATCGTGAGCGAGGAAACCGATACCAGGCGCGGTGAAGGACAGGGTAGATTAATTGAGACCTTGGCTATCCATGGACCGGATGTGGGTTTCTAGATCCCTCGCGGAAACTGGGAACCCGTCGGTGTAGACGACCCCATCCTTGACGGGGTATCCTGCGTCGATCAGGGCCGCGCGGTATATATCGGGAACGAGGGGAGAATGGACGTCCAGCTTGAAGGAGCCGCCACAGTCACGGTGAGCTAGAGATGAATGGTAGAAATGAAGCAGGGCCGTCATTGTTGATGATAGTAAGCGCATCTCGAAAGTGGACCGAAGACGAAAGGAGAATGTCTAGCAAAGAATATCTCTCCACTTTAGACTTGAAGCGAACGGAAATAGAAGAAATTGAATAGCACTTCCACTTGATCCGAGGGTGGATATATAGCGATCAGGTGTTGTCAAGATGCATCATGCAACTACCGCATGAAATGCGAACCGGGACTCCGAATCTGCCGTTCCCAATGACCTGGGTCCTTGACCATACAGTTCCTCTGTTGGACAAGGCACTCTGACCGACAGCTCATCCGTGAATGGGCGCAAATGGCCTCGAGCGGGGTCGTACTAGGTAGATCCTGCTTTGCATCATGACCTGGCATGGGGAAAGCACCCGGTCCTTTGAAAGTAAACTTCACACGTCCAAATAGCCTCTAGTATATGTTTGCAGACGAATCCTGCGAGGCGAGTGCTTGAGCAGAGGACTCGCACCTCTCGAGTCAATACCAAACACATGCCGAACCTAGAGCCAGTCAACACAGAACGAATCACTTTCCAGACTTACATATTCGCGAAAGCAAGCAACAAGGCGAGAGTTCGGGTTGGACTGGAGCTTCTCAATACTAGTCGAGATGGCTCCGCTGAAATGATATACTTCGCCGTCCATATGCGACCCACATATGTGTGTATATATATATATATATATATATATATATAAAAATATTGTCTCGCCCTCAGATAATTCATTACAGAAAAGTGTATCCCCCGTATTTGAGGAACACTATGCACAAGCACAAACTCCCACCAGCAGCAAGGACATCGAGCTCGATCACCGACCAGATCCACAGACACCCCAGAGCGGGAGCCTGCTTCATAACAGCATAGTACGGATCTTCATTTGTGACATGGATAAGATAGCACCCAGCACTCACGGCTGCGACGAAGAACAAAGATTGGTGGGTTATGTAAGACACCCGTTTCGACAGAGGAGGGAAGACAGGCGAAGGGGATGGATGCTGATGCAGAGAGTACATGAGGAGGAGGATGACTGCCGCAGGGTCAGATTTTCCCCAAGATTAAGGAGATGGAAGGGGAGGACTTGCCTGGAAGAGCCTGTACAGTCCGCCATATAATGCCGGGCCATACGATACCATCTATATTGTATTGGTGCGTGACCAGCACATCGAGGGTAAAATGCAGCATGGTCAAGCTTATACTCCATAAGATCGAGTCGCCCAGTCTGCCGACCAGAGCTTCTTTCTCATCGTTGCCTCTATCACGGGCTTCGAGAGAAGCCGTGTCTGGCTTCCCAGCATAGTCCCTTAGGATTCCTCGCTGCTCTGCGATGTCGAGGAGAGTTGGGGCTTTCGGACCGGATCGATCGGCTTGGGCCAAGGGGATCTGAGGGAGTTTTTCTTTGCGGTTCTTGCCCATGGTGGAGGGAGTCGAAAGGGTAGTGGTAGTGGTAGCGGTAGCGGTAGTGAGTGATATCCTTCTTCCTGGAAATATTGGTATCTCTCCTCCTTATTCTTATGGATCTTGGGATATCTCCAACTCGTCGCTGCAATGTCGCACACTTGTTTCTGGGTTCCTGAACACTCCTCCTGCCAATCTCCACAAGCATTCCTCCGCGAGTAGTACCTCGCCAGGCTATGTGTCCTTTCCAGAACCCAGCTCTCCTAGTTGTTGTTATTGTCGTCGGCGGCGGCCTTCAACAGAGCTGGCCCAGTCTGCAGATCCCGCTCAATCCAGTCGCAGGTACTCCAATGCTTCAGCCCAGGTCGGCATCGGTCAGTTAGACATCGCCGTCGGCGGGATCGAGGTGCAGAAGCAATGACAGAATAAGGTTGCTGGGAGAAAGGGAAGTTTGAGAGTTTGACAAGGGGATCATCCGATCCGAGCTTAAAATTATTTACTTTACCCAAACCCCTACAGTACTTGACGCGCCCGGCCCGCTATCACCCCAGCACCCTACGTAGCATCCCAGCATCGGCCGGGCCACCCCTCCAAAGCGACAGGTGTCTTCGCCGCCTGGTGCTTCTCTGGATACTCTTCGTCTCTCCTCCTCCTCTCATCCTCTGCTCCTCTCCTCAGCCATCGACACCCAAGTGCTCACCGCGCCGGCAACATCCCTCGTAGACGTGCTCGATCCCGACCCGTCGCTATGCAATGGTTCACCGTCTTTGCCATTCCCCTCGTGCTTATCTCGGCCTGGCTGTACACCGTCAGTATAGCACGCGCGCGATTTCCCAAGCTGCGCAACAAGCGCATCTGTCTGTTGATCGCGCATCCTGATGATGAGGCCATGTTCTTTGCGCCGACGCTGTTGGCGCTGACGAATCCGGAGCTGGGGAATCATGTCAAGATCCTGTGTCTGAGCAGCGGTACGTGATGGTGGTGCGAGTGGAGCGGAGGCTAAAGCGCGATGAGAAGGAACTCGCCGCTGACGTCCCATGCAGGAGACGCAGATGGCCTGGGCGAGACGCGCAAGAAGGAACTGGTCAAGAGCGGCGTGTCCTTAGGTCTGCGGAAGGAGGACGATGTGTTTGTGGTCGAGAGCCCGTAAGTGCCATTGCAATATCCTCCTCCCCCCCCTCTCTAAGCTGCAAGCTTCACCTCCTGCCAGCGCTTGGCCCAGGGCTAATATGATTAAAATGAAGAGAGTTCCCCGACAGCATTACCACGGCCTGGGACAAACAGAAAATCGCGAACCTCCTCTCCTCGGCGTTTGCGCCGAACCTCTCGAATCCCATGAAGAACAAATCGGTGGATGCGCCGACAGCGACAATCGATGTCCTGATTACCTTCGACGCCTCGGGCGTTTCCTCTCACCCCAACCACATCTCCCTTTTCCACGGCGCGCGACATTTCATTGCGTCGCTCATTCACAATCGCCCGGGCTGGGGCTGCCCGGTCGACTTGTACACGCTCTCCTCTGTCAGCCTGGCCCGGAAGTACACCAGTTTCTTTGACTCGATCATAAGCATGCTCCTGATCGCAGTATCCAACAAGCAGATGAAGGAACACCCGAGCCCACTGCTCTTCCTCAGTGGAATCTCAGAAGTCCGGACGGCGCAGGGAGCCATGACCACTGCGCACAAGAGCCAGATGAGGTGGTTTCGCTGGGGCTGGATTGGACTCAGTCGATATATGGTGGTCAATGACCTGTGGCTGGAGAAGGTCACTGCGGCGTAACGGAAGCAAGCATCTATCGGAGTTGGATTGGGACATGATGAGAGAATGAATTGCTTGCTTGGCGTGGCGTGGCGTGGCATCAAATGGTGTGTATATACCCTACATGATAGTACATTAATCCCTGATCTCCTGCACCAGGTGCGGTTGAGACAGTTTGATATATCGTTTCGCATCTTGCCATTCGTCTGGGTCATTGGATTCATGACAAGTAGAGAAGTCTACTTCACTGGCGAGGGGCTCTGGGTACGAACCAACTCTCCAATACTGGTGCCATATCAAACGGGGGAAGTTAGCATGAGCAATCATTCAGATCTCTCAGGTCCGAAACTGAGAGCGAGCTGTGCCCGCGATTTTTGAATCCAAGTTGGAGGACATCCGCGTCGTGAAGGGTATCGCGAAAGCTAGTCACGGGCTCCAGCTATTTCTACATCAGGACTTTCTCTGAACATCACTGCTTGCTCACACATCCTCCCACCACCCACGTTTCCATCTCATCCTCCTCCAAGCTCGCAGAAGTCATCGGATTCCCGAACCCGGGTTGCTTGGTTGCTTGGCACCGATAAATCGCCCAAGGGAGTCGCCCTGCAGGGCCAGGGACTGATGACTTCTCTCCCATCGATGGGACTTCAAGCTCAAGCGTTTTGTTGCCTGCTTGGGGTGGACGCGGAACTCCCACCGGACGTTTGCTGGCCTGAAAAGTGAGAGGACTGCCTGCTTGTCGCGAGCGATATTTATACTCTCTACGGACGTCCCATGATCGCCCTGTCGAGGGACGGGGAAAGGCTGGAAGACACGGGGCGGCTGGTTCACTCGCAGTTCAGGAAGCAGGAACTAGGATAACTTTCCTCAATGCTCACTGACGAAACGATTCACAGTTACCTGTTTAAAGAGCCCTTTTCTCTTCTTTTCTTACTCGCTGGATAGAAAAGTCCGTGGCTGTTGTCATACCTTTCGCTACTATCATTAGCTATGATGCATTCTCTACCTTTACGTCTCGCTTAAAATTCTCTCCTATCCTTCTATACCTAAACTTTGTGCTGGATCTTCTGGCTGATGCATCCGTACTTGGAGAAGTCTTGGGTGCGACAATGTGTCCCCAGGGAAACTTGGCCCTAGATAACGTGTCCGCCACCTTGTGTTCCTCATGCACTATACATTTGATTGGCCGGTTCAGAACTCTCAGTTCTGTTGCCCAGCGCCTTCTTAGATTGCTCTCGGGGACAGAAAATGGGTTGGGGGTTGATGATCTGTTATGATACTGTCGCGACCTATCTATTTAGGGAGACCGACTGCATAGTTTTCTTTCTTCGATTCGCACTTGGAGCTTTTCATGACTAAATTGAACCACACTACAGCAGTGTTCGCAGCCCGTTGGGTACGTAGCGGTGATACTATTTGCCTCTGTATGACGACGCTTGACTGCGAGGGGTGTTGGTCAGTATGCTGCAGGTGATAAAGTCTTCCTGCTGTCAATACTCCAGTATCTGTCAATACTCCAGTATCTGCCAATACTCCAGTATCGAGCCCCATCCTCCCGTTCGTTCCTACTTTCAATTTCCAGGATATGAGAGCCACCGGCAAAAAAAAAAAAAAAAAAAAACCCCTTCAACACGGGATAAACAGGTTTGCATTCTGAAATTTGGCTAACTGCAGCTTTTTCTTCTGAATTCAGAATGAACTGGGCTTTTCTTCTGTACACGCTCTTCTCTAGGCGTTATGCTCATCCTTTTATGCTATTCCCGAGTCATAAAACCAATTAAATTTGAACGTGTCATGCTTGTTATCGTCTCACCTTCGGCGCTGTGGCCAAGAGGGATAGATGTCTTCAGTAAGGGTGCTAGAAGACTCTGTCTGACTCTCTAGTCTATATAATGAACGGCATCGATCAGGTCAAGATGAAGGTATCGCTACTCAGTCACTTAGGTTCCCTATGATGGATGTCACGAAGCCACTCAGGCTACTCCCAAGACTTAGCTACGAGCGGCATATACCTCCTACCTGTCCTCAAGATCATCAGCTCCGCAAAGCCCATACATGGGCATTAAACATACGTAGAATCGCGGAATACTTACTACTGTTAACGATCTTTACTGTTATCATCTATCTCTCTTTCCATAACGAAAGCTTGAAAGCTACCCTAGACGATAGCTTGAATTTATATCCGATTTAAGCAGTGCTTACATCAGAGCAGTTGCAAAACACCTTGGGGCTGCTAGGTGTTAAAGAGATGGCGTGACGGCTCAATTGATTGCTTGGGTCTTCTTCGTTAGCAGTAGGTATATACCGCCATTTCTGTCCTTAAAACATCAGCTCCGCAATTCCTATATATAGGTATTAAAGACACCCAGAATCGCGAACTATTCACTATTGCCAGGAACGGTATTCACGATTGGCATGAGAAACACGAGACTGAGGCTGCTGCTAACTCAGAAGCTATATATTTTACCTGGGAAAGGCAGACCAAATTCGATCCTGAAAACCCTATACGTACGGTCAAACAGATGTTCGGTATCGGTTTGTCCCACGTGTTGAAAGTATCTACTAGGTTAGGCTAGGCTTGCAACCTATCCACTTCCATAACGGAATCAGAAAGTCGGGCGGACTGGTGACGGTGGCCTTTCATCAACGGAATGATGTTGTCAGGTCAAGAATCACTATCAACGATTATATTTCAGCCTATACCCAAAACAGAAGGAACGGCCTGAGCAAGCCGTATTCGAGGTACAGTTCTTCTTCAACAAGTTGCGCTACCAAATGCTACATACATGTCAAGCCCACTTATGTGAGGGGAATAAGATTGATGCATAGGCAGGTGAAGAATCAGATACTATGCCCAGCTGTGGAGAACTCAGAAAATGAAGTGAGGAGTTTCGTGTAAGCTCTACTTGAAGCGTTGAAAGAGGTCCTCGTGAGTCTTGAAGGTGGGCTAGATGTCAAAGCTGAATTTCCGTGAGGAACGGGGAAGTGGAAGATGTAAGAAGAAAACAGGAGTGTGTCTGGGCTCCTTTCCTCAGTTATCTATTTGCTAGTGCAAGTCGTTGAAGGAAATTTCCAGAATGGATTTATAACTAGGAGAAATTCTAAAATCTAGCCTGGAGATCATGTCTGTAGCAGCCCTCCTTAGTCCTGACGCAATAATTACCTTTCACTGGCTGCAAACTTGCCAGGATGATTCACCTAACCATACTCTCTGAATGGAAGTAGATATGCCAGATCTGAATTGTACGAACTCCCTTTTTTTCTGGCAGCTAGTTCGGCTATAAATTTTCACATCTCGATTTCTCTCAAACCCTTGGATCGGCCTCTTGACCGTCGCGGAATTTACCCGGGACTTTTCAGATTCGTCGAGGCTTGCGAGCGTTAACTGGAGACGAAGCCGCCCCTCGGCGAAGAAGAGATAGGTTGGCTGAACGGAGACAGACTCCGTGCAACGGTTGTTACTAGCTTATTTATCTGTCCTCTGTATACCTGCTGTCATTGCCTACTCGCTACCAACCTTGCCCTTTCACCATCAATTCCAAGTCCTACCTTAAGGGTATAGACCGATAAAAATCTTCCCTATGCAAACACAGTTGTAGTATACTTAGTTATCTGGATCCATCGGTCAATCTTCTTTGTGAGTGCCAAGGATCTGAGGTTGTCGTCTGTCGCTCCACGGATGAGATGTAATGAGATGTAATGCCTCCTCTATCTTCCCATCTTATAATAATAAGAATTCGAATCTCTATCCCTTTT